TATATTAATCTTTTGTATTCTGCCTCTGGTAATTCCAAGAAATTTTCCTCCTCTGGAAAATTTCTAGATTCTTTATTTTGGGAGCTTGCTGAAGCCATCATGGATTGCCTGTTTATGTGATTTTTGACTGTTGTCTCTGAGCCATGAATAAGTAACATTTATTTATGTTTGCTGTGTCCTAGCTTCTTGTTGTTTTGATATGCCCAAACAGGCTGCTCGTATAAGCTAGTTTGATTACTGGCTCCTTTGAAGCTCTAATGTCCTGCCACGAGGTGGTTAGATCTGTTACTAGGTATGTGAGCTCAGGAGTCCGCCTACTGTTCCTGTATGGATTCAGCTCAGGTGCCCAGGTAGATAGCCATCAAGTGGGTGCTGTAGGCTCTCACTTCCAGTCCTAGACAGGCATGGGTGATTGGTGTAGCACAGATATCTGGCTGCAGCAGGGGGACACTCTGATCAAGGCAAGGGGCTGATGGCCACCCCTGACTGTCCAGGAGGAAGGCGTGTCCCTGTTCCCTAGAATGCAGCTGGACTATAAGCACCTAATGCTGTTGACTCTAAGGACTGGGGGGCACCTCTTACTCATGGGCCCGCCCTTCTGCAGGTGGCTAGGTGGCGTGCGTGCAGCCACAAGTCCTCAGGCTCCTGATGTGGGTACGTGAAGACCCTGCTTAATGGGCAGTGTCAAATGTCAAGAACCAGCCACTTCACAGCTGAAACAGTTGAAGTTAGACTTCCGGTATAGTCCCTGTTGTACTGTGGTAATGAGGGCCTACATCGCTGAGAAGGGCCCACACAAGTCTATGCAGGGGGAAAAGCCCTCAAAGTACATGGATCCCTTATGCCTGTGCCTAGGCAAAGGAGTTGTGCCTACCCTGGGTTCCTGGCTTAGGGAAGCCAGCAGTTTATTTTTTCCCCTTTGTGAATTTGTTTACTCTCCGAGGCAGGGAGAATGGCTCTGGGCATGTGATGTATCCGACTTCCGGATCAGGGGACTTGGCAATTGCTGATGCTGGTCTGGGACCCAGTGCAGAGCAGGGAGCGGGGAGGTAAACGGGAGAGAGGTTTTTCCCTAACGGGTGTTTCTGATCCACACAGTAGGCCGTACGCATTATCTTTCGCTGATCCAGGGATGCTTCTCATTGGTTCTGGGTGGCCGTGTAGACTCTGGCACTAGATCTCTCCTGATGCAGAAAACATGCCTCCAAAGCACCGCTGCTTGCCTGCCCCACCCTCACCCCCAAAACTGATCAGGCCTGAAGGGCTCAGGGTCTTGCTGGGTCAGGTCTGGCAACTCCTTGCTGCTTCTGAACCGTCTCTCCCTCCCCCTGCCACTTAGTCAGGTTCCTCAACTCTGCCTTTGATGCTCAGGGCTCCCAGATTACCATATATAATCAATTCACTTGTGTTTTCGGGTCTTTGTTGTAAGAGAGTCCACCGGAAGCGTCTGACTACTCCACCATCTTGGCCCCACCTCCGAAAAACATTTTATGTCTTTAATAAGAAAAATAACTTTTAAGACAGAGCTAAATATAAATGGTAAGCTTAATTTTTTAAAAAGAGAAATTATTAGTAGGAAGAGCAGCAGAATTCTAGTGATAAGTGCACTGAGATAATCTTTTGAAATAAACCATTTTCAGAGAAAAATATTCATTCATGCCAGTGCAAAAAAAGCAAATTTATTTTAGAATTTATACCAAAGGAACATTCAAAATACGTGTGTTACTCTGCTACACTAAGGCAGGAAGCCTAGCCTTAATCTTAATACAGACTTGATCATAATAGATTCTGCCTTTTCGTACATACATCACCGTTTGTCACAAAAGTTGAATGTTACAAGTAATTTTCTCTCATTGATAGCTTTATGTGTAATTTTGGCAACAAAATAAAAACGTCTTAATTCATATTTTGCTAATTCTCTTGTCATGTCACTCTCAGAAGGTCTGATTATCATTTTCAATGAAGAACTGGCAAAAGAGGGAATAGTAGTATTTTCAAACTTTTTAAACAAGCTAAATCATAAGTAGTTACCATAAAATAAAAAGTAAATGTAGGATGCCTTTAGATTTTAATTTTTTTAAAACACTAAAACATTTTGCTTGCAATGGTGAATTAAAGTGATGAAAAGGATTAATAATTTGCACAGCCAACTTGTGTACAGTTAATTTAAAAAGATTGATGGATGAAGCAACCCAATTAAGAACCATGCACAAGGTGTAAATGGACAATCAAACCTATCAGTTCCATCATGCAGCTTCTTACAAAAAGTCAAATTGCTATAGCCTTTTTAGTGCTCACTTCTGCTCATTTTTAGAACTTTTAAAATTTGCTCAATTTAAAACAAATAGCGTGTTCTAAGTCTCAGACTTAGTCACATATACTTTGATGCTTTTAACACCACAATGGAAAAAAGAGAGTGAAAAAGTGGTTTCAGAAGATGGAATCCGTGAAAGAGCCTTGTAATGAATCCTTTGACCACAGAAAATCAGAGACAGACAACTAATAAGGGGTGCAATAGATTTTTTTCTAAAATACTGAATTTGTTTTTATAATGTATAGAATTAATAAATATTTATAAATTATGCATGTACTTTCATGTGAGGTTAGTTTTATTATTAATATTTTTATGCTTTTCTGGCATTAGTTTTTCTTAATCTTGTTTCAAGGTTTTCTCATCAATCTCTGAAAGTCACAAATATGTCTAGAGCCAAAGGTAAACTACAAACGTGATAATTCATCACAATGTATTTTCATCTACGTAATAAATAAATCTGTTGTGTGGTTAGTTTCTCTCAATCTGTATAAAATAATCCCATTAATCTATGAAAATTAATGATCATATTGGTTTTACTATGACTCAAATCCTTAGAGAAATAGCTTTATGATTACTTATCAATGTAAAGAAAACTGCATAAATTTTACATTTGTACTTAAACTACTGAATATCTGTAAACAAAGTAATATTTATTAAAATAGAATATGCACTTACTTTATACTAAATCCTACTCAGATATACAGGTTTTTCATCCTTAATTTTTAAATACCCACATTATTTTTGCAAACATTATCAGTCAAGTATATACAAAAATGAAATACGACATGCAAGCCAGAATGTGATTTTAAAACAGACAACCTCTAAAATAGCTAGTAATGTACAATGTGTAAAATTCCAATAAAACATAGGTAGAATTCTTGTAGAAATGTTGGTCCTATAATACCGAGCGATATTTACAAGCAAACATGATCCATACGGCACATGCAGATTCAGGGTACGTAAACACTCGGACACGAACTGCCAGTCGCACCTGGTCTCCACGGCAACAGATTATTTCTTCACAGAAAGGAGACCTATATAAGGAAAAAAAATTATTCAATTAAAAAGTGAACACAGTCTTTACCTTCTTACTCCCACTTAAAAGCAAAAAACCCCAAACCTGTTATTGTCAAGTCAACTACAACTCATGGAGACCCCATGTGTGTCAGAGATCTGTGCTACATAGGGTTTTCAACGGCTGATTTTTCAGAAGTAGACTGCCGGGCCTTACTTCTGAAGTATACTAAATCAGTATTTAAAATAGATTTTAAAAATCCTGTCTCTGCTACCAACAGCTCTGTAATTTTGGCCAAGCTATTGAAATTATAGGCTATCTCCTCATAGTCTATAAATTGAAAAAATTAAAGATAAGATCAGAGATTCTCAACTGAGACTGCAGCAAAGTCACTGGGAAATTTATGTCAAGATATTCCGTATTTTTCCACAAATAACACACACCTTCTATGTTTATTTGCACTGCAAAGATACCTCACAGGGGGAGGGAGCATTGGCAAACAAAAGTAGAAGGCACACATTATTTGGGTAAAAATCACAGTATATACTAGGCCTGCATTCCAGACCTAATGCACCAAAATCTGTGGTAAGGAAGCTCAATCAAGTGTATTTTGCAAAAGCTCCTCATATGACTCTGATGTCATTCCTGAATAACTACTGAACAAACTGATCTCTAAGAGTTCTAAGCCAAAAACGTTTATGATTCCATAAATTACACCTTACCGAAGACATGTGGCAAATGCACGCCTTGCATTTCTATACACAAAATGTATTGGGAACCCTTTAAATGTGTGACCATCAGGTACAGCCCTCCTTATGGCATCTTGAAATTCTTCATTGCCTGCAGATATGCTCGTCGTACGCTCAAATTCATAGGAAGCCAAAGCTGGTGATAAAAGATAGGAAAGCTGGTCTTCCCAAATGGTAGTGAGGCCAAGATCCTATACCAATCAAAACAGAATAAAAAAAGTGAAATACATTTACATTTAAGGAACCAATTATATTAGAAATGTTGATTATTTTAATATATGCCAAGAAAAGATTTTTAAAACCTGTCATAATTTAGGTTTCTATTATTACAGGAATGCACAGAAATAAAAATAAAAGGAACTACAGGCATCAACTTACTTAAGAGAAATAGTCAAAAAACATCAATACGATAATGTTCATAAAGACCTAAATTCCACATTTTTAAAATATTTCATTGTGTTTTAGGTGAAGGTTTACACAGCAGATTAAGTTCCCATTCAACAATATCTACACAAACTGTTCACTGACACTGGTTACATTATTCACAATGCATGAACATCCTCAATATTTCCATTCTGGTTGTTCTGTTTCCATTTCTCTAGTTTCCCTGCCCTCTTACTTTCTCATGTTTGTTTTAACATAATTGTTGAGCATTTGGTCTCATGTAGATGATTTTGTAAAGAAGCAAAGAACTCACAGCTGATACCCTTTATTTTGTAAGCCGATCTGTTATTTAGCTAGAAGGTGACCTGAGGGATAAGTTTCATTTCGAGGTTTAAAGAGTATCTCAGGGCAAGAGTCTCAAAGAGTCCTCCAGTCTCAACTGGCTCAGTAAGTCTGGTTGCTTTTTTAGGAATTTAATGTTCTGTTCCACATTTTTCTCCCATTCTATCAGGGTCCATCTATTGTGGTCCTAATTAGAATGGTACGCAGTGGTAGCCGGGCACCAGCTAGCTCTTCTGTTATCAGGGAAGATAAGCTGTGGTTCGTGTAGACTATTAGTCCTGTAGATTAGTTTCTTCAGGTCTTTGGTTTCCTTCTTTCTCTTTTGCTCTGGACATGTAGAGACCAATAGTTGTATCTTAGATGGCCGCTCACAAGCTTTTAAGACCCCAGCATTACTCACCAAACTAGGATGTAGAACATAAACTTCATGAACTATATTATGCCAAATGACTGAGATGTCCCACGAGACTATGGTCTTAATTCTTCAAACCCAGGAAACCAATCCCGTGAGGTGCTTGGTTATATCTAAGAAGTATCCGTAACTGTGCCCTCATGTGCTTTATTATATATATGAATATAGCTGCATACAGTCACATCCATGCATAATCTCATACTTCTTTAACATCTACCAGAAAAGGCCATACAGCATAGTCCTAATATGGAAGACAGTGTCAGTGAATTTTGAGATCACATTTTGTTTAACTTTAAAGTTTCGTATGATTGAATTTGTTTAATTTGACTGCTTCTACCATAAGCTCACCTGTAGTTGGGGGAGGAGCCCTGGTGGCGCAGTGGTAAAGTGGTCAGCTAATAACCAAAATGTCGGCAGTTTGAATCCACCAGGTGCTCCATCGGAGAAAGATGTGGCAGTCTGCTTCGGTATAAGATTTAGAGCCTTAGAAACCCCACAGTGTTGCTACGAGTTGGAATCAACTAGACAGCAGTGGGTTTGGTTTTGGTTTTTTGGTAATAGGGGGAAATGTTAACAAATTACTAATTGTTTACATAATTAAACTCAAATATTTACTGAGCATCTACTCTGTCAAAGGCACTGACTTTTATACTGTTTAAGAAATAAAAACGTGAAGAAAACATGCTACAGGCCCTTGGGGAGCTTAAACATGTTTCTTGTGGAATGTTGAACACAATTACAATTTCATTTATAAAACCAAATGAACTATTGATATCTAAACACATACAGTAAAAATATACATACATACACATAGTTACAAAAATTCTAAAAATTTCTAAATATTTTGAGTATCATAATAGATCTTTAGCATTTCCTGATTTCACATTCAAGGTTTTAACTGGTCACAAAGGATCCTAAAAGTCCACCATCATCTCTACTTTTCCTGTGACAAAATTTGAGTCTCACTTGCTGATTTACTGTCCAACACTAGCATCTAGCACAACTTTGTCTTGTCTATCACAATAATTCTTATGATGTAATAAAATATAGGTTTTATAAACAGGGCCTAAGAGAAGAAAGGTAACAGGCAATGTGAGTGATCGAAGAAAAGGGTAATGAGGGGTTTCCTTTGCAATAGACTAGGTACCCTGACTGACCCTATTACTGAAACACACTACAAATTCAGATTAAATATTTTTCAAAACACACTTTAAAATGTTTTGATGAGTTGGCAAGTGAGTGAAACTTATTTTTAGGGAGCAAAACTAAGACTAACCAGGGACCCAGAGAACATATTTGCTATATATTAGTCTGCCTCTGGTGGTCTCAAGGAACAGGGAAAACAGGCTCACCAAGGTGGGGAGACTACTAGGGAACCCCAAAGAGTGAAATTAGAAATGTATCTTCTGTAGGAATTTTGGATTCTATTCTTCCATTGGCTATGTGTCGCAAATAACTAGGAACATTTGTACCCAGTATCTTATCATTCTCTTAGTGGTTTCTTTTGATGAACAGAAGTTCTTAATGTTAATGTAGCAAAATGTATTAGTTTTTTCCTTTATGATTAGTGCTTTCTGTGTCTTCTTTAAGGCAGCTTACAAAAAAAGGAATCTAAATGGCTAATAAACAAGAGTCTCAATCTCATTAATAATCAGGGAAATGCAAATTAAAATCAGGATGAGGATTTTTTTTTACATCTACCCAACTGAGTGTAACAAGAAAACAAAATAAGCAAACAGAAACCAATGTAGAAAACAACCAAAATGAATATGGAAAAAAAGAAAAGCAAATTTTGAATTTCGAAATTTTTGAGTCTCTGAACTTAACTCTCATAAATTTCAAAACTATAAGCTCAGAAGGGCAGGGCTATATTTGCTTTGTTCAGGGTTATAATAGTATATGGCACTATGTACACACCAAAAAAAAAGTTAAATACATAAATAATTGAAAAAACTACAACTATTTCAGTGTTAATTACCTTTCTGTGTTCAGACACTAGTAGCCGTAGCTGCATTTCCATCTCATTACTTGTTACTGAGGCATCTATCATGGATGCACACAGAGGTGGAAAGGGAGGAAGCGATGTTGTAGCTCCTGGAGCACACACAGATTTAATTGCTTCTTCACTCATTGGTTTCCATTTGGATTCATCATTCAAATCAAAAACACATACTTCTACTGAGTCAGAGGGCTGACAATTTCCCAGGAACATCTGATGATTGAAAACACAACCAATTGTTCGATATGGGTACAAGGGTTTAGGCTGCTCAGCAAGTGGAGCTCCATCAGGATTGATAGGTTTGTGGATGTACCTAAAAGAAATTAAATCATAATTTTATTTAATGAGAACTTAAAAATTAAGAAGGCAGCATCTTACTGAGGAGAAAAAATTACTCTAACACTTAAAGTCATAACTCTTTCCTAGTGCTAGAGTTTATACTTGTTTTTCCTTCTTTTATGTCCACAATTTAATTACTCTATAATCACTGTACGGGTACATCTTCTTATGAATAAAGATCAAAACAGTTAATCTCACATAATACAATTAAAATAACTTAGCCATAAATTATTAGGCAAAACTAACCAAAACAATTATCAACCAAGGAGGAAGAGCATAAAATGAGAAAAGGGCCCAGTGCCTCTAGAACTATAACAGTTAAAGATAAGACGAAGGAAAACTGAGAACAGCCAGAGAGGAAGGATTAAATTGAAAGACAGTAATGTCAGAGAAGCTAAGGAAACAGGATGTTCCAGGAAAAAGGGAGTATTCAACTCTTTCAAAATCTGATGACAGGCGAAAACACTGAAAAACAAAGTCCAGTGATTTTACAACACGGGGTTGGTAACCACATCAAATTTTTTTAAAAATATCATGATTTACACTTGAACTTATTTTCAGGCTTAGGGATGATGATCAAAAAAAAAAGCCAATTTTCCTAACTGAAAGTAAATAGAATTTATTTTTTTATCAATATTATGTTGGTAAAGATTATTATAGGGGTGCAAATTTTCTTAGAATTTATTTACATAGCTGTTTTTATTGAAGTGATTTTTCACACATTTAAACAGCTCTAATAACTAAAAAAGTATTAACGTATACCTTCAAGAACCATCAATATGAACAAAGAGCCTATAGTTTATAATCACTGACATCTTCATTTTCACTTTGCTTTCAACTTAACTAACCTGTGTCCTGTTAGACTCTCCCAAAAAGTGATGGTTCCGTCAGTGCCACAAGTCATAACCCAAGCATGAGGCACTCCCTTGGCCTTCGTCCCAACACAGACAAAGGCTTCTAATCCGTATCCAAGAAGAAGGCTGCACAGGAGGTTTGCGTGGTCTTCACAGTCACCCTAGGGAATGACATGAAGCAAAATGAAGTATTTACTCTCCACATTATTTCTTCATCAAATATTTAAATATAGAATTACAATAAAAATGTGTTCGTAAATTTTTTACTTTTAATCATTAGTCCAGTGTTAAGCTGCAACAATGGGGAAAAAAGAAAATATGCTAATTTAGGATTATTTTACAAATTAGTCCTTACCAAGTCAACAATCATAACATGTACACTTTAATAAGGGGCATTCAGGTTCAGAAGTTTACAAAGAACACATACACTATAGAAAAAAAAGCTGTAAGATTTCAGCTAATGTATAGCTAAGGGACATGAACAGACAAGTTGACCAATCACATAGCAGGAAACACAAACAGAAAAATACTCAAATGTAAATTAAAATGAGTTATAGTATTTACATATAACTTCAAACAAATACATACATAGGCAAAATTATTGGGAGGAAACACAACAAAATGCTATCAATGGTTATTATTGAAATAGGTTCATATGTAATTTTTTCTGTTTTCCAAATTCTCTTTGATGTGGTTGTATTACTTTCACAATTAAAAAAAAATGAAGACTACAAAACAATAGAAAGTATACAATAATATATTCTGTGAAAAAGGTATAATTAAAACATTAAACAGTCCGGATATAATCATGTAAATATACAGATCTGTGGGGGTGGAGAACTACAGATAATACGCAAAATCAAAAACAACTATTTCATAATTGAGTGTCAGAATGGGAGGTGATTTGTTTCCCAAAAAAATCTATTAGTAGCACTACACTGCTGTTTGTTTTTTTTTTAATTAACTATAATAAAATTTATAATTATTGACTTTTAATATATTACTACCCAACCTTTTGGACCTTGTAATTTCTAAGATTTTATCCTAAAAAAAAAAACAAAAAGAAAAATAACAATATGCTCAAAGATATTCAATGCAAAAATTCATTCACAATAATATCAGTAAATTGGAAGCAAGTCTAACTCAGCCAAAAGAAATACTTCCTACAACAGGAAAACAGTTAAGGTGTCAACTCAAGGGTATCCACTCAAGAAAAGTTTACACACCCATTAAAAACTGGAAACCACAGATTGTAGCAACACATGGAAAAACATTCATAGAATAATGCCAAATTATAAAGGACAATTTTCACATATAATTATAATTATGGAAAAATGAAAGACACATGAAGAAAAACAGAAAAATAAAAAGATCTGATAAACTGAACGAAGTTTCAGCTTTAGAAATTTCCTTTACTGTTGTAATGCTGTTATTTGTACAACAAAAGTATTTTAAATGGTTAAATAATTTTCAAGCTTCTACTTTAAGGTGTGCTTTTTCTTTAAACAAACTTAGGTAGAAAATATAGAATAGTAAATCAACGAGCTGATTATTTGCTTTACAAAAGAATTACTTACATCATAATTTTAAATATGTGCCATTCCTACTGAATTTGAAACTTCAATAAAAATTTTAAATACATACACACAACTTTTAGGAACTATCGCTTGGAATAAGTCAAGATAACTTTTTTTACCTCATGAATACCCATACTATTTATACAGCCTCAGACTAAACAAAATTACTTCAAAACAGTAACATATTAAGGAAATTTCTTTTTTTCTACCCTGTTTCAACAGAATTTGAATACTAAAAGTTGTCTTACTTGCTTATTCTCACATATCAACAATTTTAGAACACAGATGATTAGGAAATTGTTATGAACTGAATGTGTCCCCCAAAAAGATACTTGAAGTCCTAAACACTATACCTGTCTGTGAATGCGACCAATTGGAAACAGTTTTTCTTATGTTAATGCGGTCATACAGGAGTAGAAAAACCAAACCTATTCCCGTCAAGTCGATCCAACTCATAGTGACCCTACAGACAGGAGTAGGGTGGGCCCTAAGCCTAATCCCTTCTAAGTGTGTTTTATAAAAAGGGAAAAAAAGACACAGAGAGATACACACGGGGAACACACCATGTAAGGACCCGTCTACAAGCCAAAGAACACCAAGAAACTCCCAGGGCTGCCAGCAGCTGAGAGAGACAAGGAAGGATCTCCTCCCACAGGTGACACAGCCTAGCCCTGTCAACACCCTAAATTTGGACTCTTAACCTCCAAAACTATGAGACAATAAACTATTCTTAAAAGCCACCCACTTGTGGTATTTTTGTTATGGCAGCACTAGTAAACTAAGACAGAAACATTCTATAACCTATAAAATTAGTTTATGAAAATCAAGTTGTATTTGAAATTCAACAAAATATCACACAATTTCAAGATTTCTGTTCTATATTTATTTTGTATTGCCATGTTCCCCTTTAAAAAATGTACTACTTAAGCAAATTTTAACATGAGTAGGATTAGGAAACCATGGTTCCAGTCCTGGCACTGCCTCTTATTCACTGCTTAATCTACCTCTGTATCTTGGCTTCTGTATGTCTATAATCACATGTGAATGAATACGAGTACTTGTATGCCCCTACCATACAGAAATCACATTAATTAAGAAACTACACAAATGGGAAAATAAAGATGCCGTTTTTTCTTTATTTACTGACACTTAAACGTTACGAAAAATGGTGAAAACAAGATTCTGACTTGTTCAAATTGACAAAATGTACTTTTGTCTAATTCTTCTAGAAATGTACTATAAATTCAAAGTAGCTGTGATGTATGCAGTCCAATTCTATTATGCACATGTGATACCTTGTTTCTACAGAGAAAAGCCAGCAGAGTGCACCACTGCTCCTGTTTACCTCCTCCTCCAATAACAGGGGCTCTCTCATAACCCAGGACATTAACAAATCTTGCTGCTTGCCTTGGAGTATCTAGAAGACGTCCAGCTCGAAGTGGTTTAACATAGGAACAGACTGGTCTATTTATCCCATTTTCATCCTGGCAGAGAAAGAGGGAGAAAACATTACCTGTACTGGCAGATTAATAGTCTCCAATTTTAACATCTTTTCTTGAATACATGAATATAGATAAAGTAACCCTGGAGACCACTTACTAAGTGATTACCTTGCACCCAACACCAGGCTCTGCTCGGTGCTGTGCATATCATTTCTCTTTCAATCCTCATAACATCACTACTGTTTTCATTTCACAGATGAAGAAATAGCTACAGCTATAATGAAACACAGCCAGAATTCAGACTCAGATCTGTGTCAATCCACAGCCTGTGACAGTTAGAACTCCTCTGAGAAAGGGTAGGCAGGTGGGACGCAGAAGGGGAGAGGCGCTAAGCCTTAGTATTCTTTCATACTGCCATACAGAACTTAAATCTATACGTATGTACGTATATATACATCCAGAGAGAACAAACAACTTTTCTGATTGACTCACATGAAAACAACAATCAGCTTATTTCCAGTTTGTTTCCATTATGGCATGGCACTCAGAGAACCACAGGAAATAGTGATTGATTAACCAAGTCAACTGAAAGCAGTTCTGAAACCATTGTAGAAAAACATCTTACATTCTAAATAAACAATGTATCCCAGCACTTGCGCTGAATAACTATTGTGCATAAAAAGGTCTCGGAGCCCTGGTGGTGCAGTGGTTAAGAGCTTGGCTGCAGATCAAAAGGCTGTCAGTTTGAATCCACCAGCCACTCCTTGGAAACCCTATGGGAGCAGCTCTACCCAGTCCTATAGGGTCGCTATGAGTCCAAATCAACTTGACAGCAATGGGTTTGGTTTTTCGGTTTCAGGACTGTTTGCCATGTGTATTCAGAGTTAACATTACCAAAGTCTGTATTTTCCTAAACTACATCATTCAGACAGCAGAGTGAAAAGCCACACACTATTCAAGGCTGCGTGGCACAAATGGTGCGTGCTCAAATAATCTAAAGGTTAGTGGTTCAAACCCACCCAGCAGCACTGTGGAAGAAAGGCCAAGAAAATCCTATGAAGTCGTTCCACTTTGTAATACATGGGGTCACCATTAGTCAGAATCCACTCAACAGTAACAAGTTGGTTTATTTATTATGGTTGGGCTCCTTGGGAAGAAAGACCTAACTCAACCAACAGAAACACACCTGTTTGAATTATTAGACTCATTGATGACTTTCTGTAACAAAAAATATTCCTTCTCCAATATAATCCCACATCTTAGCAAGAAGAAAAACTCACGTATCAATTTACTTTTGATTGTACTTCAGAAAAGACGTGAGTTTTTGTATGTTGCAGAACAAAATGAGTATTATAATTTCCACTCATGCCTGTAGTTCTCAACTCTAAAAGTCATCTACTTTTAAAACAGAAAATCATAATTTTAATTTTGGAGGGAAGTAGGGATTATTTGGCTTTCCCCTACATTAGTTTAACATTGCTAACAATCTACTGTAGTACGAGAATATTAAGTCCTGAAATCACAATCTAAACATTAAAAAGGACATTCTCAGTCCTCATGTGATATTTTCTTAAAACTTAGTGGTCTTTATTATAAGAACTCAAGAAAAGGTTTAAACACAGAAGAAAACATTCTTTGATGGTTATGAGGGTGAGGAAGGAAGGTGAGGGTTATTTACTAACTAGAGAGTAGATAAGAATTATCTTAAGTGAAGGGAAGGACAGCACACACTACAGGTGAAGTCAGCACAACTGGACTAAACCAAAGCTAAGAAGTTTCCTGAATATGATCAAACACTTTGAGGGACAGAGTAGCAGGGGTTGGGGTCTGGGGACCATGCTTTCAGGGGACATCTAGGTCAA